TTGTAAAGCGTGTGTCTACTCTTATAACAGCTAGACTAAATATAGTTTTCAGACTGGTACAATGCAGCAGTGTGACCTCAAACAACTCTAAAGATGCTGTTATGTTTAACATGGATTTGGAGGATTCAAACCATTGCAATTTTGACGACTATCCTGTTCACACCCACCCATTCCAGCTGCGATCACGGGCAGGGGGAGGTCGTACATGTAGAGTAAGTATGACATCATCAGGAAGTCCATGTAACTACGGTGGCTGGGCAGAAGAACCACCGGGTGCTCCTGTACAGCCTGCTGGAGCTGGGGAGAGAAAACCTCATGACAAATCCACTCTTTACATGGTATATTCATTAAAACAAATGTAATATACGGATTTGCAGCTCAATAAATATTTATAGTTATTATTATTGAAAATTGCATAATATTTTTGTGGCAATTGTGATACACTACCATTCACAAGATTATATATATTTAATATTATAGATTTTTATTTCAAAGAAATGCTGTTCTTCTGAACTTTCAATTCTTCAAAGAATCCTGAAAAAAAAGTACCATGGTTTCCATAAAAATATCAAGCAGCACAATTGTTTTCAACCGTGATAATAATAATAATAAGAGCAACAAATCATCATATTAGACTGATTTCTGAGGGATCATGTGACACTGAAGACTGGAGTAATGATGCTGAAAATTCAGCTTTGATCACAGGAATAAATTACATTTTGAAATTATATTCAAATATAAAACAGTATTTAAAAGTGTAATAATAACAATATTACTGTTTATACTGTATTTTTAATCCAATAAATGCAGCCTTGGCGAACAGAAGACTTCTAAACTGTGATTTTTATATAATACCCTGTGTAGGAAGCCATCAGCTGAACTGACCTATAAAGATAATATTATTCATTTGATAATAAGCACATTTAAACAGACAAATAAGAGATCATCATACCAATGAGAGTGTCATAAGGAATTTAAGCCCTTATGAATGGAATGAAATTTAAGAACATGTTTCAGTAACATTACTGCCTCTAGTAGTCAGCTGACAGTGTATAAGCCAGGTGTTTCAGCAGGAATGTTTCACACATGTATGTTGGGGACAGTAAAGAGTCGCTCACTCTCTGGATGCCCTCCTCGTTGACACACACGCTGCGGAAGAGTCTCTTGAAGGCTTTGCTGAGCATGAAGGCGAAGAAACGTACGGTGCTGAGCTGAAGTCGTTGAGCCATCTCGTCCAGAATCAGAGAAGCTTCCTCCGTCACACACTCACTACTGTCTCCTGATTCTGATGAAACCTACACACACAATTCAGTAGCCATTAAAACGCAATGTTTATTTTTAAACATTGGTTCAACAATACAGATGCTGCTGTAATGAACATGGCACCTAATGACTACTTTACTGTTTTTGGTCCCTGTCATTTTACTTTACTTGATGTTTGATTCATCGCTAGTTCCCTTATACGTCATACTCCAGGGTTCCCATACGCATTTAGGCACATGCACACTCCTCAAATCTAAAATATATAGATTAAAATGTGTGTATATTTAACCCTCTGGTGCATTATTGGCCAATTTTTTATTCTACGGAACACAAAAACAATCATAAAAAGGTTAAATGGTCCTGAAAAAAAAGAATCACACTTGTATTCGCAGTCAAAAATGGGAAATAAATGGAAAATAATGGAAGACAAATTTGTATCTAGTGGAAGCGTTTGGTACTGCGCACAATTAAAGTCTTACTGAAAGCAAATTTCTTTTAGATATCAACCTCAAAATGGACGCAGCCTGTTTAGATTTATGGCTTTGATTTTCTCAGTTTTAGAGTAAAATGTGTTTTGGAAAATATAGATTTCATTTAAAATTTAAATTGTATTTTTGTGCATTTTTCATGAAAATTTCATGTAAATGTAAATGTAAAAAAAAAAAAACTTTTAGAGTTTAAAGTTAACTTTTTTTTGTACTTTTTTCACTTCAGCAATAATCCGCCAAGTGTCGTCTTTGAAAAGAGATCACACTTAAAGAGGCTATATGCGTTTTTCTGAAATTTAAACTCGCGACTGACACCTGTGGCCAAAAAACAGAACTGCTCTTCCTTTCTGCTCGCTCTCGCAGCGCTCGTACATGCACACTTCACAAGTCATCTGCTGCAAGGAGGTCAACATTATGTTTACAGAGGTAAGAACAGTCAAAAAAATCGCAAAATCCATTGCACTGCTTGTGAGTGTAGGCTACGTGCTGACTAGCGGTGGTGGCAGAGTGGTCTGAAACGTTTAACATGAACGCGCCTGACGTCACATCCGCAGACAGCGAGGGGAAATCCGACCCGACAGAAAATAGGAAAAATAGAATACAGGCTTATGGGTGCACCCACTGTGAGCGGACAAGGTGTCAGTATGCTCATCAGGAGATGTTTGAGTCATAAATGGTCAAATGAAAAGGCTATTGTTACGTTTATTTTTGGGAAAAAGTTACATATAGCCTCTTTAAGTATGTGCTCCAAAGCATTCAAGATGTATGACAGTTTAAGTTGTCCATGCTCAAAAAGTGAATAAATGCATACTGCATGATGAATATAATTTAGTACCATAAAATCCCCTAAAAATGCTTAATATTAAATAAAAAACATTTCATTGAAATAAAAAAAAATCAGTAATTTTTGACGGTTAAATAAAATTGAAGATATTTAACCTTGCTTATTGTGCCCAAGAGCAGATCTATTTAAGTCCACATTTCATTTAACAAGTGCTAACCACTGCTCAAGAGCTGCAGTTCCAACTGCGTATGCTGTTTGCAAATGTTTGTTGGATCTATGGTTCCAGGAAACGCCAAAAAGTTCAACTATGTTGGTAAAACCAAAACTCACGACCATAGTTGGCTTACGATGCTTTAGGAAAACGAACCCAGAGCGTTACTGACAGACTGGGAATAGAGCTGCAGCAACATGAAACATAGTGTGTTTTGAACATTCAAGCATGAAAACCTATTCAACTAGACCCCAAAAACAAAACCAAGACTTTGTAAAAGGGCATAATAGGTCCTCTTTAAAAGCACAAGAAAATATGGCATTGAGGGTGCCCTGTACCTGTTTAATGACATACTGCAGGTGGTCCGACTGCAGGACTATGGTCTTCAGCATACTGGCTTTGCAGGGCACTAGTCCTTTATAAAGTGAGGGAGTGTAACATCTCAGTGCGTATCTCAGATCACTGGAACGCCGCCTCTCCTCCAGGACGTCTTCAAAATCATCCCGCTTCTTCAGCATCCGCTGCCTAGACTGCATGGAGACAGGAAACATGTTTGTTTATTAAGCGATAAGATGATGGTGATGATTTATATAAAGTTTAAGGGCTTTTTTTATTACAATTACATTAAAAAAAACTGAAGAATAAAATTACAAGGACCGATATTCTTGTATTTTCATGTTCTTCAAAACCTTTTGATTGGCTTATGCTTAAATGCTTTCAGACCATTAAATATATTTGCTCAAAATAACAGTAAACTAAAAATAACTCAATTCAAATTGCACATATTCATTAATTTTCAGAATGCCCAGAGTGTGCATTTCTGGAATGTCCGAAACTGTTTATAACTTATATGAAAATAAGTTATAATTCATGAGATGATTTGGATTTGTACAAAATTCCTTTTTAATCATTTGTGTTATTTCATTGCTTTAATGACTTTCTAAAATGCAGTTCATTAGTAAAGGATTAATAGGTATGTCCATTTATTTGTAAACAATGTACACAAAACTAAAAATGTTAAATGAATAGATTAAAATAGCTTTATCTTAAACATACATATAATAAATAATATTATAATTAATCAAATTCCGCCATATTTAATATAAAGTTGGGCATTTTCTTGTAGTATAGGGCTATCGCTTTAAAAACTAATGACTTATGTGCACTGGACGGAAGCCTTATAAGATTCACACTGCAAGTGTTGCAAGCATGTACTACTTTGTCAGAAAGCATGCAAAGAAAAAAATGCTCTGAAGCACTTACCGAATACAGTGTTCTAGACGCCATTTCCATTCAGTATCTATCAAAGCATGAGTGTAGTAGATCAAATGAGTTCTGTGGGAGAAAGTTTGTATCAAGGTTGATCGTTCGTGTCACAGAAATTCCTCATTCCTGTCCTGTCATAGAAATAGGCTACAAGAACAGCTGGAATGACAAGCGAGTATGAAACAACAATTACCGGGTGGGCGGGGTTTGGCGGAACGGCTGACGGATTGGGATTGGTCAAAATAATAATTTTATTTATAATTATTATTATAATTTTTTGCTGCTCTAAGCTAGTTGTTTACTGCCATTCGTGAGATTTCCCTATTACGCCACAGACTTTACTGAGGTGTTCTAAAAACAGCTCAATGTAAAAAACGAATCGAAAACTGATTGGCTAAACTACAGGATTCAGCCAATCAGGAACGACTTCTATCTGTCAGTCATTTTGTGAGTTTGAGTTTGCTGGATTACGTTTAACTGATCAGTTTTTGGAGGGCGAGCTTTTTAGAGACTGGGAGATTTGGTAAATAAATATGGCTGAAATTTGAAAAACGGAAGAAATAACTTATAACACCTGTAACATTTCGCAGTATATAGAAAATGGTATGATAACACGTGGTACCGTTTACTTTTCCCAGCGCTGTCCGGATCGGCCAATCACTGACGTTTGTCATTACTAGAGTGGTGTTTTTATTTAATCTCTTTATTTAAACAATCTGCACGAATTTTTATTACAGGATCAATTTTTAAAAAAATTAATAGATTTAAAAGAGTATACTTCGTATCGTACAACTGTCTTCATTATGACAAAACCGCCGAGAGATTATAATGCGGTTGAATGGAGGTCTGTCTCTCTGAACCTCAACGCGCCGCCTGGAGGAAAACTGGGGGGTTTCATTTCGACAGCTGTTAGATTTTCCTCCTTCTAATCAGCTTCTAATGGGCGGTGTCAAAAATCAGATTGTGTTACTTCCGGGACGAAGAACGGATTGACGGAAAGCAAAGAAGGACATATCGCGAGTATGATGCACACACGTGAAACACACGAAAGCAAGGCGTTCTGTTAAAAAAGTGTTTTTATTTTGCATGAAAATGAGCGTAGCAAGAGATCAACACGGCGGAGAGGTGGATGATGATCGTTTATTCCTCGACCAAGTTCTGGACAAGTTGTATGATTTCGGTAAGAGTGAATGTTTTAATAACATGCTAACACATTTAAGTTACAGGCTGTAACTATTACCAACTATTACACTTTACTGTCCCATGACGCCACAGGAGAGGATGTATGAACGGCAGTGAAGCGACGCAACTGACGCTGGACACTAGTATTAAATGTAAACACAATACTACACAACATAGGGTGAAGTATACAATTTTGGCAGTATTAAACAGCATCTGCTGTAACTTACAGCAGATGCTGTTTAATACTGCCAAAATTGTATACTTCACCCTATGTTGTGTAGTATTGTGTTTACATTTAATACTAGTGCATTCTATGTATGTACACAGTATATCCCAAAAATGTGCTGAAACAGTACTTAGTATCCAACGATAAACATTTCAAACAATAGTAGTAACCCTAACAGTATATTGCCTTCAGCAAGTGGCAATAAAATAAAAAAGACCCTTATTTTGTGTAAAGAATTTACAGAAATAAAAGGTTCGTTGTTATTATTTCCAACTAGTTTAGAAATGCATTGCATTGTGGGATACGGTATTACACACTGCAAACAAAATATGCAAACGACAGTCTATGAAGTTTCTAAATACTGGTTATTGTATTTGATGTCATTTTTCATGTTTAGGTGATGGACAACACAAACGACTGAAGAAAAGGAAGAAGAACTTTGCTAAAGATGAGAAAGATACTGTCAAACATGACACGGACTCAGAGCAGCCCATGACAAACTCAACAGTATGTGGAAGCTTGCCATCTGGAGCTAAACAATCTAATGTGGAGGTTGTTACATTTATTGATCCTCGGAGGAAGAACAAATTACCAAAGGCTGTTGACCTAGCGAAGAAGGTAAGAGAAACATGATCTGTATCTCTGTGCTTCACCTCAGCCCTAAATGCCATGTGACTGATGACTCTATATTCTATATTGCCTGCGTCTGAAATCAAATACTCTCTGTCTTGACTTGAGTAGGTACTTATTTTGAATAAGTAATTACTTCACAACTGCTAAAAAAGTACTTTCTATATAGTATGAGTGTGTGCAGTATGAATTTATTCTGGACGTACTACATTCGCCATGTTGTCGTTATCACGTGACCTACCAGCGTCAGTTGCGTCGCTTCACTGCCGTTCATACATCCTCTCCTGTGGCGTCATGGGACAGTAAAGTGTCCATCATATACATACACACTTCACTTCAGCATCTCTGGAAGTAGTAGCTCATCCGGGGACTTTTTGTCAACTATTTTATGAGAACTATGAATTCAGACATACTTCTTTTGTCACATACTGTTTTTCACCTACTATATAGTAGGGAGGAATGCGATTTCAGATGCAGCCATAGTGTTGCAGCGATGAAGTATTTTTGTGGGCCAAAAGTATATTTAGTGTCCCATTCATTGACAACCATAAAAACATTCACCACGCTATCAATAGTCATCTTGCCGACGATTTTGGAATTTCGGTCAAAAATTCAGGCTATTTTCACTGTGTATAAAACATACAATATGCTTCAAATGATTATTCATATGTGTAAATAATATGCACTACTTTAATGACAAGACAATGCAATGTAGCTGTTGTGAAAAAACTGATAAAAATTACCAGTCACAGCAGCAATCGTTTATGGCTTGCCCAACTCAGGAACCTGGGGATCCAAATTATTCCTAAACTTCACAGTGGTAAATACGATTTGAGAGGCCATTCATGTCCGGTTTTTAACTGGGAAACTTGTATTTATGATAATTCCGATGGCATGTGAAGGCAGCATTAGCATCACTCTTCTTCCCTTGACAAAAAGCCAATAGGATTTGTCCATTTGCTTTTGGATTATTGCTGAAAATAAGCTCTGTGACCAACAAAAGCTTATGATTCTTACCCTCTGGTTAATCAAGTTTATCTTCACAAATGAACACCATACTTATGAATTTTTAAGCCTAAATACAATCACCAAAAGGAAAAAGCGTAATACTAATACTATAAACGAACTACGCCACAGTCATGTGACTTCAACACAATCATCACCACCATTCAGTCCCGGCAACTTTATTGCAAAATATTTTCCCTGAGAGTTTGAGTTAAAATAGTTTGCAAAGGTGCGATTAAAAACACCACAAGGTATTTTAAGTTGAAGTTTAATGTCCCCAACAACCTCTGTAGCAACTGCCTTTTACAAGACAAGTAAAAGCTTTCAAAAATCACAAGGGGGAATTACTGATGTATTTTGTCATAGAATAAAATGTGAAACGAGAATAGTGTGTGTTCACAAATAGCTTATTTTAGGCATTTAAGCAAAAAAAACTATTCAAAATTCCCTTTGACCTTTTGTCTATTTATACACTACACAAGTCACATTGTTAAGAGCCCTAGTGAAAAATGTGTCCCTAGTGAAAGATCTACAGTAATTATGATTTTGGTTTTGCAGTTATACATATAATATGGAGAAAAAGCAAAGTTTTAAGAATGTATGCATGAAAGAGTGAATGAACTCTACAAAAAAGTAACAGCTGACTGCAACTGCATTCACTTCTTATCTGTTTTCATCCATGTTTATCCTCAGGCTCCTCCTGATGTCAAAGAAAAGAAGAAAAAAGTCCCAGATGAGAAACTAACGATAGAAAAGGTGAGATTATTGCCATTTTTCTTAACTTGGTGAGATGGTTATGTAGTCAGCATTTTAAAATGAGCATGAAATAAAAAAATTCAGCCTATATATATATATTTTTAAGTGGATGTTATTGATCTTAATGTGAACAACTCATCCATGCATACTTTTTTTTTCATTGACCTCAATGTCATAACTTGATCTACTAGACTTTGTGACGATACCGGACTCCTCCAATCATTTAGTCCGCTTAAACCCCGCCCCTTTCTTACAATCGACTGGATGGATTGACCCAAGTCTCCGCTATTTCTTGATAATGACATCTTTTTATTTCACTTGGTTGTATGTCACAATATAGCTATGTCCGTTTCATCACGACTTCAAGGCATCATGGTACCAACAATAGGCAATCTTGCTTAGATAATAAAATTTCCTTCATGAATCCTGCACAGACAATCCAGTCCCTTTGGCATTTAACTGACGTCTTTGGGTCTGTCCCAATACCTACATTTGTGGTCTTTTCACTTGACCACTTGTCTACTTGCATGACGTATTTCCTGTATTTGGCCCAAGTGTTCTAGTGGGCTTGAAGTCTGAAAGTGTGTCGAACTTTTGGTTCCCCGATGAGAGACACATCATAGTGTTTACAGAGCTATATTTACACATTTTATTTACAACATTTTGCACTTCAAACTTAACTAAATGTCTTTTCATTAGGCCCTATGCACACACAACACGATTTTCAAAATTGTGTGAAAAAATGAGTGAAATGTAGAATATAGATATACATAGTTAGAATTCATTCGATACTGAAAAGTATCAACACATTTTTAAACTATTTGTTCTCAGTGTACAGAGTGATATTCTGCATATGTATGTGGTTCCAAGTCAGTAACTTCTCATTTGCAGTATGATGAGCCAGTTATCTCTTCAATGTCCCATGAACTCATGTCGTGCGTGTCGTCCACAGGCCCGGCTTGAGGTTCACAGGTTTGGACTGTCAGGGTACGAGAGGCAGCAGCAGAGGGTCTTTGAGCAGGACAGAGCCATCATGCTGGGAGCCAGAGTGAGTTCAACGCACATCCAATAATCAGGCCTGAAGCATACTTGAAGCCCTTCTATCTGCTTTGTGTCAGCATTGCCACAAGGGGTGCTCTAGCAGGCCAACAGCTTTTACATTACAAGTGACACAATTCAGATGTTTCTTTCTTAAAGGGTAACTAAAGCCCTGGTCAGAGCCTGACTCCACCCACTGGCAATATTTGAAAAATGCTGGAAAAGTGGGCGGAGCCCAGCGGAGATAGAGGGGATGAACGGATACTCTATCCTGATCGTTTTCAATACTCGCAATTCCAAATCCTGACTCGCTACAGTGGTTTTGACGAAACAAGATGGTTTTTATACTGCCATGGGCGTGGTAGCTCGTACCAAGGGCTTGGTAAGCTGAAACCTGCTTACGTCAGCTCTCACCGCTACCGTCACGAACTACCGCAAACATCCAATAGGAAAATTCAAGTGCAGTAGCCACCGTTCAACCTGAAGAGGGCAGCACTCAGACGTTTTTACACCATATATTGTAGAATTAAAACACTTTATACCCAAATGTCAAAAAAGTTATTCGAATCAATGAACAGCACTAATAAAGCCCCAGTCTTACAGATCATTAATAAAAAAAAGTTGGTTTAGTGTTTAGTTATCCTTTAAATGTGGCAACGATATAACCCACAAATGTGTGAGCAGGAAAAGAGCACATGGATTACGATATTCTCAGATCGGTTTCAAGCCTCACTCAAATGTGTAAATAAATCTTCTATGAATGGGATGCGTGTATTTTGCGTCTGCCATGTAAGCGGGCAGATCGGATATTCCCTGTCAATGCGAGTCATACATCATTGAAAAAGCAACGTTGGAGAATGACAACAACTCAGGTGGACCCATAGACAGTATAAGAAGTGGACAGAGCGATCTCATTGGAACTCAGTTGAGACAGTTGAAGCCCATTTTTAGCGATTTTTGAGCACTTTCGTTCCTGACGCGCAGACTCAAACCGACTCAAACTAAGCTTGATGACGTGAGCAACCTGTCTGACAGACGTTAATCTTCTAGTAGCTGTGCGTGAAAATTGCCAACGTTAATCTTGCAGAGACGGGGAACTTGAGCAAAGAGTTCTTTGGCGTGAGTGAGCAGGAGTAAGTATTCCGTTGCTTTTATGGACTCATTATCTATGGGATTCTCCCTTGACGGGACGTCCCCCCGATTGCCTGCGAGCTTCTCCTCCTGTCTGTACGGTAATTTCTGTACAGCGCGACAGAGAGTCGAGTGGTTATGACGCAATCGTTAGCCTATTTTTACTAAATCTGTTTCTACGGGGCCATAATGTAACATAGAAGGTAATGGAGCACTTTATACATTGTTGTGTTTCTTTAGAAATAAATAATGGACAAATGGAGTCTTTAAACGCCTCAGATGTAAAGTTATTCGCAGTCAAAGTGACGCCAATATGAATGGGAGTCAATGGAAATGCTAACGCAAGTGAAGTTCTGCTACAACATGGCGGCACCCGGCCGGCTTCAACTTCCGGTCGATGGATTACCCCCTTGGGTGGACCCCAACCGCGATCACATGACTCTTTTTGGCGGACAAAGGCTCAACCCAATGTTTTTCTGACCTTTAAATATGGTGCAAAAGCTTGTATTATCATTTCGTCTCCATCCACTTTTTATTTCCTAAGACTTTTCCGCTCACCCTTAAGTTGTTCCAAACCTGTATGAGTTTCTTTATTCTGTTGAACACAAAAGAAGATATTTTAAAGAATGTTTGTTCAAGGAGTTGTTGGACCCCATTGACTTCCATATTATCGACCCCCCCCCCCATACAGGTTTGGAACAACATGAGGGTTAGTAAATACATTTTAATTTAATTGGGTGAACTGTTTTTTTTTTCTCCTATAGCCCCCTAAAAGGCAGTATGTTAACTACAAAGTGTATCAACAAAACATAAAAGAACGGAAGATGAAAGAGAAAGAGGAAGCAAAATCCGTAAGTTCAACATTTCAATTTGAATGGTTGTTATATGATTACTTTTTAAAGCACTTGATCCCTTCTGCAGCGTGTGCAGTCGTTCTGCTAACTTTCCTTCTGTGGGTCTTTTGACAGGAATCGCAGAACAAAAGAAGGAAAGAAGGACAACCAAGGTTTGTGTTTGTTTTGAGCACAATGGCCGTAAGAAGTTTCATTTGTTGTTCTTTGATAGTTGTCATTTAAGTTCTACTGGTTCTAGTTTGTTTATGCTTGATTGTATTAGCACAGGCTTAAGGCCGGGAAGCCAGACTGTGTTGCGACCCTTATGGTGCACATTAGCAAAAAATTGTCTATAGTGTAGTTATGTATGAAGCACCAAAGTCACTTTAAAACCAAGCATCTTTCAATGCGGCGAATTTGCGTGTCCAACATGAACGCGAGTGGAATCCGCGTGGGGAACGTTTTCGTCGCCTTGTAAAACTCAAAATTGAGTGGATTCCTATATAAATGACTGGATTTTCCCCACAAGCTTCTGCAGAGCACTGGTAACTGTGTCAAGATTAGTGTTGCTCATTTTTTTTCTTTTCTTTTTCACGTCCCAGGACTGAGAGAAGTAAATCCTCCTCTACTGGAGAGCTCGGTGGACAAGTCGGACGCTTCAAAAATGGGATGCTGGTCTTGAGCTCCAGAGACATTCAGAAATATAAAGTTAAAGTCAAAAAAGTAACAGCTGATGATTAGCAACAGAAAACCCAAATGCAGGAGCATTTATACTTGTATGGAATATCACACTTTGTCTGAACTGGAATAAAAATGCGCCTTACTTTAGCTCGGTCATTATGCGCACACATTTACATGTCCTTGTTGTTTATTCTCTGGTTTCTTTCACTGTTTGTGCTAAGGACATAAATGGCACTACTTATGCAGCTTTTTGAGGTGTACTTTTACTTTTCTGCATGATTAGACCATTTTTTTTAATAATAAATAGTTTTTTTAATAATAAATATAGCTGAAACACTGATTTTTGGAGTTTAATCCACCAATTTTAAGTCATGTGAAAAAGAAACAAAATCCCAGATGAGAGACTCTGAATAAAGACACGTGGATCTGTCATCACAGTTTTATTGTTTATTAAAAGGGAAAGACGCTGTTTTTTCTTCCACACTAAGTAGTAAGAAAAGAATGTCATGTACAATGCATTTGATATACAAACCACAAAGACGTACAAAATATCACATTAGTAAGAGGAAACGAGAGCTCGAGATCACACACAGAAGAAGAGCAGCGAAGACTCGGACTCACACACACCCACAGTTTTCGTCGAGGATGATGATGATGATGATGATGGAGATGTCACACAACACCAGGGCTGTGTTCATGTGTGTGGCCTGTGTCTGCAGGATCAATGGAAAGATGCGTTCGGGAAACAGTTCGTCTTTCCTTTTCAAACTCTTCACAATGACATAAGCTGAGGGCCAAACACCTGACTAATGTACATCCACACAAGCAATATGCTGTATATATAAAAATAAATCCTTAAACGCTTGATACGGTGACAGATTTTCTGTTAATTCATGGGACTACATGATGTTTTCTGATGATGGTCACACTCATATTAAGCATTCGCCTGTATAACAAACACCCCAAGACCATTTGTGCGTTTTCAAAAGAATCATAAAGATATGGGATTCCTCTATTTTGGAAAAGTCCAATGGAATTGATCCGTGTTTTCTGTTGATGGGAGTCTCTTCAACTTTGGCCACTTTTTATGTTTGCCACTTCAAATTAAAACCATATCCATACTTGTACAATGCCATTTATACATAGATTGCATTGTTTTACCTTTGTCACAGACGCAGACTTTTAATCTTTATTTTTAATTATAAAAAGAATAATAATTATATTCAAAATTGCATAAAATAATTATTTATTTTTCAAGAAAAAGACTGTTATTGTGCGTTTTTGGAGCAATAATGCAAAAAAAAAAAAAAAGTTTGAACATCTTAAATTAACTGTGTATTTAGGATACATAAAATGGTAGCTAGTTATCAAATTACCATTAGCAAGATGCACCGTTGGACTTTATTAATTGGGACAATTTCTGAGAGTTTATTTTCTAAAAGTTTACAAGGCAAAAAGTCGCCATTGTTGAAGAAACACCCGGAGATGAGGATGTAGTTTGTTGCTTTCCAGCCTGGGTGAAAGAAAGCACACCACATTCCCAAGAAACGTCGCTAATTTTGGCAGATTTGTGTGAATGAGGCACAGCACGAGGTTCACTTTCTCAGCCTAGTGAATATTCAAATTGGGAAAAGTAGGGGACACTATTCCTGTCTGAGATCTGGATATTTCAGGTCAATGGGGATAATGGTTAAATAAGTAAACACAATATTCACAAAGTAACTCTTGCCAGGATTCTTAGGGTCATATCCATACAGTATTTCACTTTACACATTAATTCTCCATTACTGTACAGTTGCTTTATTATCATACATATACAGTGTGCACTCAAGTTCTCATGTCAGGGTCTTTCCTGTCTCAGCAAACTTTCAGGAGTGCGCTTTCTTTCATATTCAGTACCTGGCCAGTGATTCTATTATTTATATTGACATAAACTTTTAAATATACTTTAATACAAAGAAATTGTAAAATTTTCAATTACACAGTAAAAAAAAAAAAAAAAAGATAATTCGGCAAGATAGATTCTCTTGGACAGACAGCAGTTTTGGAAGGCGTCTCCCACTCCGGATTTAAAGAAATGTTCGAGGTCAGTTACTCCACAATGGAGTCCGAGTCCAAAAGCATATTTTCATGGACTTGGATCATTTGGATTCGGTCTTGACTCGGACTAGACCCTCTTCTGGTCTTGGTTTTGCCTCGGACATCAACTTACTCGGGTCTATATGTTTAATATTTCAGTCTTGTGACTATAGACAGTGTGTATTCTAATATATTGACTGGCCTTGTGCTTCCTTTAAAGGTGCATTACTATAACTCCTGTTTTTAATTGGTAAAACACCATATGCTTTAAATGTTGATAAAGCTTAACTTGTATTAAACTGACATAGTACTGTAAAGATGCAAATGACCCGGGACAACATTCCCAGACATGGGACAACATAACCAGACGATGGCCTTGACTGAACCCGGAACATTCCTTTAAGCGTAGCTTTTCACATTTTACTGCTCTCTCTTTTTTTTTTTAGCGCCAATAACTGCGTATTTTTATTTTGGTACTCCCGACAGCAAAATACTCACCCCCGATAAAAGCATCGGAACAAGCTATTTACATGAATTAAACTTCATAGAAATGTGTTATAAATATCAACAACATCCCATGCTTTACATCACCAATGGGTCATTATCTGCTCCCATAATCCGGTAAATTAATATCTGGACAGGATAATAAACATAAATATAATATCTTTTCATTTATCTCTCATTTCTCCCTGAAACCATTATAATTTGAACTGAGGTATAAGCTGAACATAGGCTTGTATCTCCTATTGTGAGGTCCATAAGTGGCTCTTCATAGCGTTTATTGTGACATGCACCAGATTTATGAGAATTGTATGTAGGTAAGTGGCTTCTTGGAGGTTTAACTATCAGAAAATAATTCCCCACAACAAACACTAGGGGGCAGACTGCAACTCTGCATCTATGTTTTATCCGTGTCATCACTGTGCAACACAATGAATACTAACTCATGCGCGCTTCACTGCTTTGACCATATTTACAGCCTATACACAACATGCAAATGCAATCATCTCTCCCGACAAGATGGTATGACTTGCTATTCTGGCATTGTCAACAAAAAAAAGCACAGAAACCGTTAAAGGGCGCAGCGTGGAAATGATGCTGATAAACTGAACCATAAGGTGCTCATTTACTTGTTACTGAGGTGTATGAAGCTTGAGTCTGTCATTTATTTAATGTCAAAGTGTGTAATTTCCACGTGACTACTAGTGTCACTTAAAATAATAGAGTGCTGCAGGTATGATATCACTTTGTAGGCCAAAACACAGAAGTGAGTTAGCATTTTAGCACTTCCGGTTCCATCATCCCGAAGTCAATGGTTTTTTTTGGTTAAAGCTGCCGTCGGCAACATTTTTTTGATCATATTCAGTGAAATCGACACTATAATCTGACAGAACAACATAAATAAAGTGGTTTTAGAAAAAAACCCGAGCTTCTAACTCCACCTGGAGCTTGTTTTTTGTTTTGCAAAAATCCACAGCTCCCGGTTCATCATGTCCAATCAGCGCAGGGGGGTGTGAGATCTGACTGTCAATCACAGATCGGGCACACGCCACCCCTCGCGCACGTTACAATCACATGCACACGCCTGAAGTTCGCGGAAGTTCGCGCAGTAACGAAGAGTGATGGCGGAAAATCAAGTAAGCTCATTTAGAGTATAAATGACGTTGGTAATTGCAATCTATCGGTACATTAGCCAGGACAGCATACCTCCAAATACTCCATGGTGTTGATGGATGCTGATGAGACGGGCGCGTTCCAGGGGGGGGGGGTTGGATACATTTTTGTCATTGGTTGTTGCGTTAAATCTTACCCAGATACAATAGTGCTATTTTCTGATTGGCTATTGTGTAGCTCGACGAACAACACCAGAGGAAACGTGCTTGATTCATACCGGTTCCACAGTGAGAGCGGCGCGGCCAGAGTTTTGGGCGCTGCGGCATATTAAATATATTACAAATAGTTTTTCAGCGTGAGAAATACAATGTGTGGCGGGAGAGCGTGACAAAAGACCGAAATGAGTGACTGTCACGCTCAATGCGTGACACTTGAGAGCCCTGGCGTTCACTGAAAATCTGGTGCACACGCACTGACGAGCACGAACTCGGTGGGAGGGTATCCGTTGATAGTGGGGGAGGGGCATGAGAGTTGTAAACATTCAAAATTTTCCTAAATCCACTCAATCTGCCAGACTTGCCAACTGGAGCTTTAAATGGCTGAAATAAGGTCTGTGTTGAGCTCAAGCTCAAGAAACGTTCACGTTTTATTCTACGACATAAAATTCATCAGTATTACCCCACTCGTGATTTTTTTTAAAAGCTGTTACATGTCTTGAAAAAGGCGGTTGCTAACCAGTGGCTAAATGTGACTACAGAGGCTGTCGAAACTCAGTCCGCTTTTACAGCATTGTTATATTGATAACTGTGCTCTTATAAACTATTCTAACTCAAATGTATAGCCTACCTTAAGCTTTTTACTTCTGGTGACAGCATTTAGTCTTCAAAATTCATAAACGTTGTGTTAATTTGTGATAATTATCTTGATGGACAAAACGTGCAAGTATCATAAACTTTTGTTGATCACAGAGCTTGTTTTTAGCGATAATTCAAAAGCCTATGGGAAAATCCTATTGCACTTTTGTCAAGGGAACCAGTGTGATGCGAACTGCTGGTAACTTGGCCTACAAAGTGACTTCTTACCTGCACCTCTCCATTTACAAAAATAGTGACTGTTTTCAAAAGGGTTTCTCGAGCACTCTTCTCTTGTTGGTCGGAAATACAGATAGCCCCGCCCCAAACTCTCACCATTGGTTGAGTCGTTGTTGCTAGGGGCTAGGTCAAACGAACCCCAAGCAATGTTTTGAAAGCCCCACAGAGGCACAGTGTTTACACTTTTCTCTGAATCAACCTAGGCAATATTATAATATTAATCTGCCTGCATTGACACTATTATACAAGAACTGAACTGAGCTGGATGATGACATCACGGTTTACTCCAGAGCGGCTATATATATATATATATATAAATGAACTAAATTAACAACTTTTTTTAAACAAAAATTAAAATCACTGAACTTACTTTAGCTGAACTG